GTTTGGGTTATGTGATGTTTTTGGGGTGGGTTGGTAATTGTGATAGTGTTGGTTTTGGGTATAGTTTATGTTGTTTGTGATGGTGATTTGTTTGTTTTATGGTTGTTTGTTGGGTGATGGGTTTTAGGTGTTATTTGGTGTTGGGTGTGATGATGTTGTTTTTTGGGATTTTGATTGTTTTTTTTTTTAGGTTATGAAATACCTTCACTGCTTGAAACATATCCTGATGATGACCCACATGTTTGGGTTGAAATGTTGGCACCAATAAAAACTTTATAATGACTGCTTCCTGAATATTTATCACCCATTAAAGCACAATAGTGTGTATTAATAATAACATCATAACTAAACCAAGACTCTCCAATGTTTTTATTTATTTACTAACACAACCAACACTCTCCAATGTTTTTATATGTCTCATTGCATCTGTGACTAATGGGTTAATTGAAAAGGAATTTTTCATATCCTTAAGGGCAGATTCTGAGTCTACAAATATATATTTGCTGGTTATGAAAATGGAGATTCGGAATAGCCCAATTTATCGCAAACTTTTCTGCATAGTAAGAGGTACAATGTGAGGGAAGTAAGTACATTTGTATATTATGAGTAACAATGGTCGCATCAACTCCATCTTGAGTTTTTGAACCGTCTGTGTAAACATATTTCCAATTGAAATGTTCAGTTGGAAGACTTTGAATTCTGTTAATCCTAACTTTGACACAAAGTTACATGGTTATATTTGACTTTATGTATTTTGGGAATTGGTAGCAGCCAGGGCTCTGATTGCAATGGTTCCAAAACTAAAGGAAAGGGCATGGAATTAAAGTTTGTGATGTGCATTGAGTATTTTTCTGATTAAGATAGCTTGGTGGGTTTAAATGAACTATTGTTGCTAAACATAGCCTGTTTTTTAAAGAGAGATATATAAGTATAAAAATAATATCTGAGTTTAAATATTATTTTTATGTATAACACCAAGTCTAAAATTTGACCACTGCGAAATTACGAAGGTATTCACTCTACCAGCTTCCATTTGAAGGCTCACTATTGGGCTTGATGGAATGACCCTGTGATTACTCGAAGTGTTGAAATGTATCCAATATTTTTATTAATTAACTGGAAATTAATGTTTGTTAATTCATTGTTAAATTATTGTACCATTTTTCAAATGAACAGAACAGAATTTGCATTGTAGTATGAATCACAAGTATCAAATATTTTTGAAACCCTAATATGGATGACTGCCCCAACATAGATTTAATATCTATTGAAAAATCATGAAGTATTACTCAATCAATATCTATAGTCAATGATGACTGCTAAAACAGGATAACTCGATTTGGGTCTCATAACCTTTGAATTGGGTCCCGACATATCTTTCAGAGAGCTTGAATTGGGTCCCTTATCTTTTTCAGGTACCCGGGCATGTTACATGGAAGGCTGGCTTAGAAAAATAAATGAAGTCTATTTATTGAATTGTATAGGTATCATAAATGATTTTCTATAAATTAGATACATTGCCTAACTGAATTTTAACTATTAATTACAGTCAAATAAGGCAATGAAAGATTTAGTGGTGTTTACTAGGATAAAACATATTCAGAAATTTTCAGTTACTTTTCTTTTCATGTCTTCATTCAAAGCTGCCATGGATTTGACAGTCAGCAATTGTGTTCAATTTGAATTTGACATGAGGAAGTAGTAATCAGGAACATCTATATAATTTGGATTTAGCATGAGCAAGTAGTATCCAGCAGCATCTCTGCCTGGTCTTTGTTTAGTTTCTTAATTTAGAAAAGGAGATCTCTCATCTAGCTTCTTTTCAATTGCCTTCTGACAGGCATTTCATCCATGATTTTGGGAATGCTATCCATTAGTCTGTTATGTCCGTGAAGTTTATTATGGATGCGGGAATAGAGAGTACGTATTTCTTGGATGATAATTGGTTCTTGTTAAGTCAGCATGTAAAGTTTGCTTATTTATGTACCAGAAGGAATCTGCTCTTAATTTAAAAGTTTTAGATTTTGAGATTTTAGTTACTTGGTAAAGCTTTTTATCACTTTGTTTATCATATAGCTAAAGTAATTTGTGTTTGTAAACATATATGTAATTAGATAAAATTATTATAAAATGAGGGTTAAAATATTTCTATTAATAACTTCAGTTAAAATAAAATTTTATTGGAAATAAATTTAAAAAAGGTTTATATGCATTTATCAATATTGCAAGTTCCCACATCTATTTTGATTAGTTAAAACAAAAAAGAATAAAACATATTTTTGTACTATATACATTAATAAAATAAAGATCCTATAATTAATAAAATTATACAATATAAAAGTAAATACACTAAAATTTACAAATGGGTTTAAAGTTTTTGTAAAACATTCTGTGTATAATAAAATAACATTAATCTTACACCTGATTTTTTTAACTTAATGTATTTCTAAATTGTTGTGTTATATAATTACATTATTATTTAAACTCTAATTTAAGAAAGATTTTAAGCACAGTCATCTCCACTCTTACATTATAATTATCAATATTATGATATGGGTAATTGAAAGATCTCTTCCAATAATTTAAACGAAATATATACATTTTTCAACTCAAAGCTTGCAAATTTTTTGTTGTAAAAACATAAAGGAAGCTTTTATTACAAGTTATACTTGATAGAAATTTTTCATTATTCAAATCTATATTTGGTTCATTACATTAAATAATCACCCATCTTTGATCCAAGTTGAGATATGATGATACTTACTAAATTCCTTACAAATATAAGTGGCTTAGTTTGTTTTAAATGCTATAAGGAACCACCTGTTTCCAGCAATGGACGGAAATTAATATAAACATTGCATAAATGGCTATTATTTATAAATTAATTAATCAATTTATAAAATATGTTGATACATCATACTTGTAAAATTAAAAAAAGTAGACCTAAATAACTTTGAGTTACTGAAAAAAAGTGATAAATAGCAATGGAGTGAATACTTACAATACACTCTTTCCATTGAAAACATTTATGGTTTTATAATTGTCTTTACGAACATTTTCAAAAGGTTAATAACAATAAATACATACATAAACATCAGCAATAATCGCTAACCATGAACATAAATAAAATAAACATAAATTAAATTTTGTTTAATATGATACCAACAGTGGTATATTTCAGGTTGATAAACCTAACAAAATCATTTTATTTATCAGTTTACTTACTGATTAGGATTTTGCAACTAAAAATTTTTATTAAAATTGATTGAAACAGCAAATGAATGTAAAATAAAAATAAAAATGGAATTTTCAAATCTAAGAAAATCTTTTCTGATTAAAGCACACTTAATTTTTATGTTATAATTTTGTAAAACAAGATTTAATTGAAAAACAAATGGAAATTTTTCACAAATGATTAAAATTTATAAAATTAAATTTAATTCATTAAGATATATGATTCCCTACTCCTTTAAATGTTATAAAAAGTGCAAAATTAATGAATGAGACTTAAAATTCTGGGATATCTCTTGAATTATTGAATTGTTAATTTTACAATTTGATATAGATGTGATGAGGAGGAGAAAATTTTTATATTGTCAGGACTATATTAAAGTAATGAATGTGAATCTGCACAATGTAAACGATTGATTAGGATTATTCGTTACTACAAGTACATATCTAACAAAGCTATAAATTTGTAAAAATAACATTACTAATTCCGGTCTTCTGTTTGTCGTTCAGATTAAACATTTTGCCACAAGGTGAGCTTTGAAGTATTAAAGTAAACAAACTATATTAAAAAAAGTGATTTTTCACATTCGTTACTTTAACGTGATGCTGACGATATATGTTTTTAATTAATATTTAAATAAACATTAAGACAATGAAACTTATATACAAGTTGGTTTAAAATTCAATCAATTAATATTATGATTCTACTATTCCTAAAGAAAAATATAAAAGAATAAAAACAAATTAGAAAAAAGAATGAAAAATATTATAGATTGAATCAAATGATTGCACAGCAACATAATTATTAGATGCATGAATAACAAATTATTTTATGAAAGACTAAGTAGTGCTTATAAATCCCTGAAATCAATAAGTTATCACAATTAAATGATAAGATATTAAACCTAAATTACTTAAATAAACTATTTTCATGAACACATATAAGGCACACCGAGTTTCATAAAAAAAAATTAATTAAAAAAAATATTAGTTTCCAATTTGATTTTTGGTTTTCGTCTTTTTTAGCTTGAATTAACAAATCCTGTGATCAACAAGGGATTTAGATGCAGGAAGCATCATTAAGATGATTATTAGTTAAAAGTAAAAAGTAAGGATACAATATTAGTTTTCAATTTAATCAATTGACATTCAATAAAACTGTTTTTCACCAGTTATTCGTCCATCTTAACAAATCTTTTGATCAACAATGGATTTAAATTCAGGGAGCATCATTAAGATATTAATCAGTTTAATAATTACAATAAATTATAATTAGGTGAATTGAGATGCATAATCAAAATAAAAAAGGTCAATGATCTCTTTAGAAAATTCATTGAACGAGCTATAATAATTTATAATCTAAACTTAATTCATAATATTTTTGCAAAATTAAATATTTTTGAAATTATAATAATATCTAATAGATTCTATATTGTTTAATTTCATATTTTATTCCTTACGATAAGCATTTTATGTTTTAAACATATATTAATTCTTATATTATACTATATTAAGTTTTAACAAATCAGCATATATTTAATATAAATATACACTATATATAATTACATTCTATAAATACATGATTTTATTCTGAATATATGATATATTCTGATTTATTATGGCAAAAACTTAATAAATATTTACATTTTGTCAAAATAATTACAAAGCTGCCTCATAAGACACTAACACTTTTCGCTGATTGAATTGATATGCAACAGAAAACTTTTTTTGGTCACTTCACAATAACTATTACAGAATCAAAAATAAGTTTACACTTGTGTCATGGGCACACTGCTGTCTATTGTACTTCGAGATGAAGTTCGTTTTACAGGCGGAGTTTTAGGCCTCCCGTTAGGGCTTTTAGAAATCTTTGCGTCTAGAATAGACCCTTGGCTTGATCGTAGGGAATGCGTTGATCCGATTTTAGACTCTGGTCTCTTGTCTCTGTACTCGTATATATTCCCTGTGCTCTGGTTCCGGTTCTCTATGCCCTCCATGCCGACATGATCATCTGTCAATACTAGGAGGTCTGTACCGTACAGAGGGTCGCTGTTTCTAGATGGGGAATAAAAAACATAAGCATTAAAATCCATATTAGTTCTTCAATCATACAATCAACAATTAACTTAACAGTGTATATTCCATAATCTAATAAATTATTCTTAAAATAAATAAATAAAAATAATTGCATTTTTATTGTTTATTAATTTTGAATTAAGTTTTTAAACCAGAAAATGGACATGTTATGTTATTCATTTTCTTTTTTCTTTTACATTTGTATATATCTACATCTATATAAATTTAAAAAAGAAAAAAAAATGTATTTCTATTTATTTTTATCAAGCAATCAAAATTAATTATATTTGAATCAGAATGTTTTTTATAAACTGCTGTGTAATTTAAGGATAGGGGATTTTCTAAACTAAAGTTTCTGTAATATCAAATTTTAAAAGAACAATCATTATTGATAACCAATAATCATAAGTAAAAATAATTTCAACAGATGATTCATAAAACACAATATAATGTTAACATGGATTTGAACACAATTAAACCCATCCCTAATCTCAAAATTCCTCACTGGATGAAACGTAGACCAGAAATAGACATCGATGATCAAATATTCCAAAGATTACACACCACAAATTAAAAAAAAAAATGTTCTTCAATTCTTACATAGATACAAAAATTGTAAAGTTATATATACCGATGCCTAATACCAAAATAGAAAATAGTGTTGGCTGCACTATCCTTCTGTGTTAATGAAAACCAGCAATAGCTTCTGTATAGCTTATCTGAAGAGAGCTTCATATTCACTGGAGAAGCTACTGCAATCATGAAGTAACTCCATTTTATATAAAATTTCAATGAGAATAAATGGATGACATCAACAGACTTGAAAAGCGTCATGACAGCAATTGATAACCCATGGCCAAGCAATTCCCTCATTAGGGATGTATTGAACATATGGTGGGAATTGAAAAAAAGAATGATCAGTGTTGCCTTGTCTGGGTTCCATCCCACAGTGGTACCTTTGGCAATGAAAAAGCTGATCAAGCTGTTAATTTAGCAAGGAAGTAAGAGGTACCAATCATAACTGCAATAAGTTACATCACAGTAGAAGATTGGGTTCATCAGACAAAAAATAAGTAGTCAGAGAACTGGGAAATAAAACAGTCTAAACTATTAGAAATAGAAGCAGATTGCAACTAATAGGCTACAAGAACGAGAAAATCCATAAGAGAGGAAATTATATTGTGCCGAATACGGATTGATCACTACCTATTTACACATGTGTAACGTCTTAGAGATCTAGAAGCACCCACATGAAAAAAGTGTGAAAACAGACCACAACCAGAGAATCACCTATTGAGTGGAGTGCCATCAATACAGAATAATCTGACAAAACAGTGAAGTGCCATCAATACAGAAAAATCTGACAAAAATTAAAACTACCAATGACAATGAAGGAAATATTGAGAGACAGTGAGGATGGAGTCGCCACTCTATTCCAGTACTTGATAGAAAACTAGTATTATAATAGAGTGTAAAAACATACTGCCAATGGCACTTTAGAGTAGAGGCGATTACAAATAAATAAAAAAATATAAGTATGTTTCAGTCATTGTTAATTCAATTTTTTTTAAATCAATCTATGTAATTAATTTAGAATAAAAAGTGTTATAATTTGAAATAATGTTTTTTTTTTTCTGGTAAATATGAATAGATTTTTAATTACATTATTCTTCAGCAAAAATACTTGATTGTAAAGTTAATAACAATTGATACTAAATAAATGTATATATACATATACATATTACTTTCATGTATTCATCAAGGATGAAAAGCAATTTTTCTATATTTTAGTTTTTGTTTTCATAACAGAATTCCCTTCATTGCACTGTAATTGTATTGAATCATTATTTATCTACAAATTTTATGGATTTAATATAAATTAACATATTATCTGCAATTTAATGAATATACCTTTATATTTGAGTATTATTCAATTGATTTATTATTAAAGAAAATAAGTATCGATAGAACACAAAAGAAGAAAATAGTAACCTTGGAAATTAAATATACAAAGAGTTTAAACTTTATTTCATTTTAAATGTTATATGAGATTCATTCTATTATTAATTTGGTTAGGTGCACTGAAAAACTTGAGATATAAATAGTAAATCGGCAATATATCCAAATTTAAACTGAATATAACTTACCAATTCTCTATTGCAGCAATTTGACAAAAAAACACATCAATTGAAATTAATAAAAATAAATTATAAATAAGAATTAGATAAAGTGTTAGCCAATTGATAATTGGAGTGATGTGGGTAAAATTACCTTTTAGCATTTCTCCATAGAATACAAAAGATCACAACTATCACTATAAGAAGTAGATTAAATCCAGACATAGACCAGAATGCGATTTGTAAAGGCTCTTTAGGTTCCCACCAGTACTGCAATAAAAAAGAAATATCACATTAATTATATAATACAAAAATTGTTTTTAAGTAATTTTTGTAAAAACATTTTATATTAGCTATAAAGTTAAGTTTTGACAAGGTTTAAAAAAATAAAAATAATAACAATAAAGACATTTCAACTCAAGAAAGTTGGACACTAGCTGAGTTAGAGGTTATGAAAAATAATTTCATGGTAACAAATGAACATTCTAATAAAATAAAAAATAAAATAAATATTTTTATGGATTAAAGTAAAAATAAATTACCTCAGTGAATGGCGGATAGGTAGGCACCAGAATACCTATTACTGTAGGGAGGTACCAAGTCCAAAAAGCTGATTCAGTTTGCCGATAATTGAGGTAGATGGTCGAATTGAATGTGGTATTCAAATTCAAATACTTCAGTTCACCTTGTCGGGCAAGCTCAAAATGGAGGCCTAAGATTTCAGTCTGCGTTGGATTCCTGAATAGAGAATATGATAAATTAACATTAATTATTTTTTATTAATTTAAAACAATATTATTTTGCATAACATGTTTTAACAAAGGGAATTGGTATTAAAATGAATAAAAATATTTTTTTAGTCTCACCAATTTTTTTATTTCAAGATTAAATATATTTTATCATTTTAAATTCCTCATAATTTAAAAAGTTAAAAAAAAAAATTGTACAACAGTGTTCTACTCATCTATTTTTTATTAATGAAAAGAAGAATAGTTGGGGTGCTCAGTCAAAAAAGGAAGGCAAAAAATAAATTATAATATTTATTTTTTACATTTTATTTTTCTAATATTTTATTTAGATCTATTTTATCTAGATCTAATCTATTTTATTTTCTCATTTTTTATTATCTTTTTTACCATCATTACTTATGTTTCTCATACCTTGTTATCTGATTATTTTCTTAGCCCTGATGAAGGCCTGAACTTCAGGTCGAAACGTCGGCATATGTAAAAAATAAATATTATAATTTATTTTTTGCCTTCCTTTTTTGACTGAGCACCCCAATTATTCTTCTCTTCATTATCCACGACAGTCAACCAATTACCAATTATTATATTTTTTATTAACATTTCTATATTATTCTATTTTTTATTAACTTTAGATTACTAGCGATCAGTTTATAGTTGCAGAGAAAGAAAAGAGCTTATCCCTAAATCTTCTGGAGCAGAGATAAGCAATCAATGTGCAAAGATAGTTCCACTAAATCAGGACTAATCAATACCAACTTCACCACTTTGATTTATTTTTAGTATTTAGATAAACTGTATCATTTTCGTGTTTTTAACTTCCTACCTAATCTCTCAGCTATATTAATTTTAAGAATCAGATGGAATGTCGAAACACTTTAAAATATGGTACCATTTATTTATGTGGTAATTTTTAAAACCATCAAAAAATAAAGAATATTAATAAATTTCCTGATAATAATAATTAAGTAATTAATTACTAAATAAAAATGAGTGGTTTAACATTAGATTAAAACAATAGTTTTAAAATGACACAACCCTGATTTTGGAATTGTGTAGTTCTCTGTGTTCTGTTACTGTTGTCAATATTCCTAATTCAACATCATGTAAGATTTGTAATTTAGTCATTTTTTTTAGACATTTTTAACCAAAAAGAAAATATTAAAAAAAAAAAAAAATACAAAATACAAAAAATCTTAACACAGAAACATTCTTTAATTTGTACAACAAGTAAATGAATTGGGAAGTTTAGATAAGAAAAAGTCTTAGAATATTTTTTAATGTGATTCTAATACTTCTCAGTAACAGTAAGTTCACCTATCTCACATCAATCAATTAATTTCTATGATCTGATATTCTGAAAAGAATCACTAGCAGCATATAGAATTATTACTTATGAAAACATTTTCTGAAGTTATCTTCAGAATAATTTTTCGATTGCCAGATTAATCCCTTCATATATTTTTTAAATAATGAAAATTTATAATTACAATAATATAATTGAAAATTTTAATATTTACCCATATCTTGCAAAATTGGAAAATGCCTTCATGAAGAAATGACTCATGTTTCTGTCATTATTTGTCCACATGTTTCTCTCTAGCCTTGGTTTAACAGGAAAATATTCTAAAAAAAAAATGCAAAAAATTTGTTAAAAATACATTCTATAAATATTTTGACAAGCTATGTCGTATCTACAAATTAATAGTTAATAATTAAAGATAGATTTTAGACTAAGATAGATTTAACTATTTATAATAAACATAATTCTCAATTTTATATATCACATTGTAGTTTTTATTGACATACCAACATCCATGAAAGGTGCTCCTGTTAGCAATAAATGTTCAATATCATGTGGAGCCTTCCTCCATTCTGGAAACTTGAATGCTTCAATTGTCGTATTCATTACATACATATAAACTGGCACATGTTGTTCTGTTAATAATTTTACTATATGATCAGTAGGAGCTCTATATATAAAATCAGACATCATCTGTGGAATTGAGAAAATAAAATACGGTAATGAATTTATTATTAAATTGTTACTCAAATGTATCAAGGTAAAATAAAGAATTACATCTATGTATTGTTCACGTATTCTCAAAGGATTATTCGGTTCTGGCCAATAAGTATACCTATACTTTATTGCACGATAAATACCATCTCGATTTAAGGTGTAATTATAACGCAGAACCAGCTCATGGATCTTATTATCAAACCACTTTTCATCTATTTCATAATCTGGGGCTAATGTCTCATTGTTATCTGAAAAAAAAATATATATAAAAATCATATATAAAGATAAAATTTAGAACATGTTCTTCTAAAAGTAAGTAAGTAGTCTTAGTATTTCAATCAAAAGTGATCCTTATTTTAATCATTTAATTAGTAATCATTACTTTTTACTTCAATTTACTACATTCACTAGTGTTTCAATTATTTATCAGACAAATTGAACTTTACACTAAGCAAAAATTTTTACATACAAATCAACGCTAACAACACAGATATATTTTAACGAATCATAATTATTTTATAAAATTATTACTGAGTCATTCAGCTCAAAAACCAGCTAAGCAGAAAATATTAAAAATAAATATTTTTGACATTTTTGAAGTTTTAGAGTGGTGTGGGAATAATTGATTGTAATTTAAAATTTAAGAAGTTAGTAGGGGAAGGTTCTAATTCAAGGGTATGGGGAGGGGAGATGTGGTCAACAGTCACTCACATAATAAGTGGTATTAATACTTATGGGAAAGCCTACATTTTGACCTATGCTGCAGGTCTTCATCAGGGCTTTTGTCCAGCAATAGCGGAGGCAGTAAGCATGAAGACCTACGAGTAAAGTGTATGCTAAACAATAAACACAACTCCCACACATGAAGTGTGTATTGTTGACCATAAGCTCCCTCCCTACTAACTTTTCCTTAAAGGTTTAGAGCTTCATCTATGTAGCAAAGGGAATCCATTAAAAATACATAAAAATGAAGCATTAAAAAAAGGAAGTATCTAAATACCATGTCTGCTTCAAAACTACTCAGGTCTATGGTTACAGCTGTAGGCTCCATTCTTGTTATGAATAAGGTGAAGTTTAAAGGTAGTTTTATAGAGATTAAAGTAAACATTCAATTATCATTATTTGAATAATAAATTAATTGTCTATATGGCACCAATGAGATGCTTCACAAAACAATAATTATTATCGTTTGTAAATATTTTATTTTATGATTATTTCAATTGTAAATAATAAAGTTTTACTAATATGTGCGTTGAAATTTACCCTCCTCTTAACAGATATATAAATAAGAAGAAAAGTAATATCCCCTCCCCTATACAAAATTAATTTTGGTATTACCAATAATTTCTCGTAAAATTAGACAGATCTAAATGATTTTGGGCTGGTAAAACAAAACGAAAATCTTTTCTTCTTTGAAATTTCGTATCATATATGCAAAATAGATACTCAAAGAAAACACAACATTATATTTAATAGGACTATCCATAATTTCAAAATACCAAATAAATTTATTAGTTCTATAAAATTTATGGAAATGGATTGCTTCAAGTAAACTTTAATATAAGTTAATAGAACAATTACATTCCAAGTGTATACAAATTTAATTTTTGTTACAAATAAATTGAAACAAAACTTTTGTGTAAGGGCATTTAACTCTTTTTGAATAAAAAAACTAGACTGAAATAGTCTGGTTTGTCAAAAACTGAAGTGCATAAGTTTTTACTCATTTTGATAAGAATAACAATATATTATTAAATGTAAAAACCACTGCAAATTTATTACATTTAATATCTTTATTTAACCCTACTTAGGAAGCCAAAGTGCAAACTAAATTAATTTAGTATGATGTATTTAAATTTTTTTTGAAAAAAAAAATTGTTTTGTAAGATGTTTAATTTATCTAGAGAGATATTGAATTTTTCTAAAAAAGAATGTAAATAGAATTAAAAATGTCTTGCTTAAGAAAGCCTATGGTTGGACCTTTAAATAGTTTATAAATTTAAAATTGAACCATATAAATTTTATTTCTAATTATTTTCTTAATAAAACATTAAAAAGTTACATATTAAGTAGGCTGCTTCCTGAGTTGTGACACCAGTCATGTACATAAGGCCTCTATTGAAGAGACCCTTCTTTATAAATTCCTCAGGAGTGTAATTGGCGAAAAACCAATCTCCTTGTTTCCAACCTTCATACCAAGCATCTCCAGGAAGAGTGAAGTTCTTGTCAAGGACTGGACTCCAGGGAAACATGCCTACCTGAGGCTAAAAAATAAAAAAATAAATAAAAATGTGAATTCTAATGGTGAATTGAATATTTAAAATGAATAATATTATAAGGTGAAATTTAACAATTCATTAAAGTCTCATTGATACTATATTATTTATAGTTATTCAAATGTTCTATAGTAGATGTTATTTTCAGCAAATTGGGAAATAAAACAGAAAAAAAGCGCCAGCCTTATAGTGCAAATTATGTATAGCCTTGTGGCAAGTTTTGGAACTAATAATATGATAAACAGATTGTAGATGACAGCTGTTTGAGTAACTTACCACATCTTATCCATTTGTCAGTTTCAGTCGGAAATAGATATGTCCACTTTTAGTAGCAAGCTACTCAATTATACATACTTATATATTAGAAAAAAAAGTAATTATATCAATAACTCTTAAAACTTACCTGAAATTCAGCATTTCCAAGCTCATGAAAGCTCCTGTGACTTCTCAAACATTCTACAAGCTTATAAGATGAATCAATGTTGCACCCAAGCTGCTGTGCAAAAACTCTGCTAGTATTTTGGGCCCTATACCTGTCTTGAATAAAGGCCCAGTCAGCAAGAGCTGATCCGCTCTGAAAGAGAACCGAGGATATTTTCAGTAATTGTTAAATCTATGATATAAGAGATAATATTTATCAGAGGTTCTATAAAAGTGTACTCATCAATTAATTAATAATCATGATTTAAGTCAAATTCAGAAAATTATTTTTACTGATATAAAAATAGATATTGTTTAGTTCATTTCATTGGATTGATTATTAAACCGATTAAGGAATAAGCATTTTTGAATGAAAATTTAGAGGAGGATTCAGGAAATGAAATGGTTGCTGGGATGTTTAATTTATTTGGTCCAAAGCATCCAGGCAATAAGTGCAGTATTAATTTATAAAATACATTTAACTAGCGTTTGAGAGAAAAATTATAATTAAAAATATATCAAGCCAAAATAATTTAAAAAATAAAATCTTGTGTAACCAGTATTTTAATGAAAGGTGTCAACAGATATCTTAAGAATGGCTAAAATATTGGATTTTAGAGATAATTTGTTTTAAACCAGCGGGTTTTAAATTTTCAGTTCTTTGTTGGGTCAGAACCACTTCAACTCTACGTCTATGATGGCTGGAAGTCTATTAAAGATTAACTTCTCCCTTTATGCTCTTGTGCAAGCTTGGGGATCTATTGTTCCACATTTCATGCCATTCCTTAAATAAATAGTTTATCTTTCTAGTATAGACATAAGTAACTCACAGCACTTGTGGCCTACCACAAGAGCTTAAAACATTTTACTTTTGAACTTTTAATCGTTCTAATTGTTGATATTTTTCCTTTCTGTTTCTTTATCATATTTATATTCAAGTGAATATTCCTTAAATGTATTAAATAAAACATATTTACCTGGGCAATAACTTTAGAAATGATATGCTGAGTTCTTGGATTCACCATCAACAAACCAGCAGCAGCAGCACCCGCACCAGGCCCAAACAATGTTATTGAATCCTTATCACCGTTGAATGAGGCAATGTTTTCATAGATCCATCGAAGGGCCATTGCGATATCAAGAATACCATAATTTCCTGGAGAGTTTTGGTCTGCAGTGCTTAAAAATCCTATAAATATTTATTTAATTAATTAGCTGAAAATCAATAAATTATTAAGAAATAATCGTAATATTATTATTTTTTATTAATATTAATAAGTAAATGCAGACATTATAAGAAATATTGTATTTAAGATCATAAGAAATATTGTCCCTTTTCATAGAGATGTTTCCAACAAGAAAGGTAATCAAATCTTTCAGACCAATAAATTCTTATTTACAATATTTCTAATCATTACTATATGAATAATATTTATAAGCTGTTCCAGAGGTACAACCAAACCTATTCTAACCAGAGTGGGAAGGTCAAAATCCATTCTGTGGTCTCGCCACAAAATAAATTTTAACCTGCACAGGCCGATTCGAACTGCTGCTAAACTCGAGAGTATTAATGCGGAAAACGCCTCAACATGCTTAGCCATAATGGCTCCTCAGTTTTTTTAAAACTAATAATAGTTTTTATTTACCTAGAGCACCAAGCCTATAATTCAGTGTCACAACCACAACTTCATAAAAGCCAGCTAACATGTGTCCTTGGAAAAGATTTGAAGCACCAGTTTGAAATTCACCGCCATGAATATACACCATGACTGGATATCGTAGAGCCAATCCTGATCCAGTCTGAAATTAATTTTATTAATTATAAAATTTTAAGATTTATTGTATTATGAATGTAATTTACAAACTAATAATAATATAAAAAATAATGAAACACTAAGAAATAATTTATTTTTTCAAACTCCAGTGTAGTGTTGCTGCCCTCTATTATTACTCGATGTATTGTAAAACTTAATAGTTCTCTAAGTTAATGAGTTCACTCACAGTCAATATATAAAATCTTTTACGAATTCTAGCTTTAATTTTTTTTTTTTTTTGTGAAGGAATTAATTAAATGCAATTTTTCATAACATTTCATTCTCTAAAATTCGTAAAATGCTTTAATGTATTTCAATGAAATATTTTTATATAACGGTACAGAGTGATAGTACAATAAAACATAAATTAATATTAAAAAGATTTGGGGCCTTTTTTACTTTGCTACCGCAAATAACTTTTCACTAAAACATATGATTTCTTTGTCGCTGTTAACATACTTGGTAATAACTATCGTTACATAGTTATAACCTCATTTTCAAATAAAGAAATAAATATGCACTATCTCTGTTTCTTGGAGTAATTGAAGCACATTTTCTTCACTCGTAAAAGATTAATTTTATTTTAGTACCTAAACACGCCAGAAGGTACACAATAATAACCCTAAAATTATTAAAATTTAAACCCTTAAAAAAAATTTAAACTGAAATCATGTTTTTATTGAAAAGTGATTGGCGGTAGCAAAGTAAAAAAGACCTAAGCTTTAATAAACTTGGATTATATTTAAGAAAAAAGAGTAGCTAAATCGATTATAAGAGTAATAATAACTATGTAAAATAAAGTATGTTTTAACTGGTTTATTAATGTTAATGAATGAAAGTTCTTTCCTCTTTTCTTTATGTAAATAAAGCCTGTAATACTAGAGGCCATGGAGGGTCAGGGGTTCGGTATTTAGTTAGGAAGTACTGTTTTTGGGTCAACAATGGGGAAAGGGGGTGATTTGATTGAGATCAAGCTAAACTGCCAGATTTTACCTCTTAATTAATTATTAAATTAAGAGTAGCCAGTTTATAGAGGATTGGTGCTGCCTAGGAGGATAGATCCATAGTTGATGAAACAGAATAAATAATTATCCGCCACAGCCTTACTCACACCTGAGAAGTAAGGCTCTTGTTCCCTTAATAAGCACTTGATAATTAATGATTCCATGGTTCATAAAACAATTAATGCATTGAAACTCATCTATAATGATATCATGTAAGCAACAATACACTTACCGAAGGAGTATATATATTAAGATAAAGACAGTCTTCATGAACATCTCTAATTCCTTTAGTAGCACCTGTAAATCTGGTGGGTTGTGGGCAAGCAGGGCCAAAGTCTACAGCTTGGAGAACTTGCCAGCCAGGATGTGGTCGAGGAGGCTGCAAATTAAAAAAAGAAAAGTTAATGAAATCATTGCATTAAATATATCATATAAATATTAATACTTATAACAAAAATCTAAAAAAATAAGTATTTCATCGATTACATCATTTCTGGTATAATTAGATAACGTAGATTTTTCAATTTTTATTTTACCAAAGTAAGATTTTTCAATAGATATGAAAGGAGCAACAGGGAGGTGGGAAGCTAGAAGTTCACTTTTTTCAGGTTTTCCCATACATCAAGAAAACTATTCATCGCAACCCACAAATATGTTCTATACAAAATTAAAGCTAGTAAAATTCACAATATGATTGATTTTGTAATTTTTTTTTCGCTATCTCGCTTAGTTTCCAAGACATCCGTCCTCAACTATGCTGATGTGGGAAAAAAATGTTTATCTCATGTTTTTACTGTATTTGATTAACTCTTGATTGCCTCGCTCTACGATTAAGTCATGGGGAAGAAAGTTTTAATAATTAAATTTTCTTCAATAATATATATTATTTTACTAGTTTATCTTAAAGTAAGATCAATCATAACTTTATATATCAATTCCGAGAATTTGCAAAAAAAAAAATAATTTTTATAATATACGTTATTGTATGTATGTATCTGTATTTATATATACATAGAGATTTATTTAGTTGGAATGACCCTGTAGGTTCATTGGCAACACCTTTAAATTACACTCTGTTGTAGAATTTTATCTCTTTTAAAAAGTTTTTTTGACTGCACTTTTACTGTCTTGTAGATTTTGTTTTTGACTCTGTGCCATGTCTAACTTTTTCCTTGTAGGTTCAAATGAAGGGCAGTCTTGAATAATGTGCTTTACTGTCCTTTGGACATTTCAGCTTTCGCAGGTCGGAGGATCAAGTCCTCTTAGGAGGTAGGAGTGGGAGAATTCAGAATGTCCAATTCGTAACCTGCAAAGGGCTGTCTCCTCTTTTCGAGACGATCGTTGAGAGGTTTCCCATTTTAGATAGTAGGGTTTAATTTCTTTTAATTTAGATTCTTTTTGTTCCTACTTGTTTCTCCACATGTTCCACACATTCTCCTTAATTTTTTAACGTAATCCTTTAGAGGGATTTCATTCATTGATTTCACGGATATTGTATCTGGCTTTCTTGCCATGTAGAGATTTAGATGTATAGAGAATTAGAGCAATATAATAACGAATATTATAAAAAGTAATTTTTTCTGGTAATTCTCGCAATTGACATATAAAGTTATAATTGATCTAACTATTGAACCGTTGGCGATAAACTAGTAAAATAATTTATATTCTTAAAGAAAATTTAATTATAAAAAAACTTTCCTGTCCTTTTGGTCTTGATTTTTCCCCCCTTTAATAATGGTCTCAAGGTCTGAAACGCAGATGATAAAAATAAGACTGGTGGATCAAATGTGAAGTTTATCAATGGAAATAAAATAGGTCATAACCAACTTTATTATAATACATATTGATAAAATTCTTGATTTAACGAAGGATAGATAAATAATCGTGTCATATTTTACCGATAACTTCAATTTTTCATAGCTGAAAAAGTTTTATTAAGATGCAATCCAAGAATTGATAAATTATAATAAAATATTTTTATTAAATATTAGAATCCGAACAATCGTAGTGATAAGAGTAGAATCTTATTTCCGACCTCTTTTCGGGGATTTTTTCCACGAAGTCGACTTTCCCTAACGAATTTCTATCACGAGGCGAAAAGGAAATGACTCTAATGAGAGTAGCGAGCTAAAGTTGAGACTTATTAAATATCTGAATGAGATGGGTCAATTCCTGACCTGCTCCGCCCACGCCGAATGTCATCGGGACAATTGTATTTTTCTTTTTATGCTCTAACAAGGCTTTCGTGAGATAATTTAGCCTCCTTAGAACTAATTGGCAATTCAGAACTTGGGCGACCTACTGATGAATGGATGGGTGGTCTTGATCCATTGTAGATCCGTTAAGGGAAGACGAAAAAATATCAATGTATATATACTTATATACATATTCTAGGTGGATATATGTGTATGCCTAACGGCGGACCAACCCGCATTTTACAAATTATACAACTGTTCATTTAATTGTACCACTCGTTGCTCAAAATAAATAACTTTAATTTACGTGTATTCTGTAAGAAAGAGATCTTCCTCACGCGGCTGAGGATCGGACATACTAGACTGACACATCTCTCCACCTCATAACAAGAGATCTTATCCCCAGATGTCAAAAGTGTGACCAGTCATTAACTACAGAACATGTTTTGGAAGAGTGCTCTTTTTACACCGCAAGGTTAAAAGATCCCGGAATACCACGGAATATATCAGCATCACTGAGAAATCGAGAAGAAATCATTACGAAAGTTATCAACTTCCTAGATATTAAAAGACTAAAAAACATATATGACAAGTTTATTACTAATGATCTATTAGCAGATTTATTATTATTACTAGTAGGCCCGTGCGAAAAATTCGCACAGCATATTGTTTTCAATTGCCTAATTATTAAGAAAATAAAATAATGCAACATATCAAAAGATAAAAAAACCAATTGTCACTTTATCAGTAAATATAAACGATTTAGGAAACAAAAATTATTTTAAATCTTCAATAATGTTTGGAACCAACATGTTTACAAATTTCAATAAGCTGTATCTTTGCTAAAAATTGTCCGATTTCGATGATTTTTTTTCCCTTTTGTAGTGAATTTAGTAATCTTTAATTATAATTATAGCCTTCGAAATTGGTGGCTCGATCTCGAGATTTGTTGAAGAATTAACGATGATATGGCTTGCCGATCAAAAACAACATTGATAAATAATATAAACTCCTCCTCTCTCGATCATAGAGGCCTCAAGCAGACGAAATGAAATATGTATTAAACGACAGTACTACAATTAATGTAAGGTTGTGTGGATGCGAACCCTATGCATTGCGTTATCTCGAAAATAATACGTTTTTGGGCTTAAAACCGCAGGATCCGATAGTTCCGACGGAACTATCCAGGTCTTGCTGTACCCATCGAAATCTTCAAGGTCCAATTTGTCCCGTATCGATCTACAGACCTACCACCGTTCCTGTATTGAAGCTTAGCAAAATGTTTGTATCGAATTTATTTATTTTAGAAAGAAAAACAAAAGTGAAGAATACGATTCGCAAACCCCCCATGAAATTCTAAATCCAATGGTACCCCATTCATGGTATTTGAGCATGACAGGAGCTTATATTTGGTACAAAACCGATTTCGATCCTTACTGTAATAATATATGTGTTGATTTTTTATTTACTTTTTTCATGTAAAAAGTTCATTTGTTTATTAATTTCAATTCATTTATTGATTTTATTGCTATTTTTTAAAGTTTATTTATGTATCTATTCTATCTCATTATCTATAAGTGTCTATTATTATCTTTATTTATTTATTTTATTCTATCAATCCTTTTATCTATTTTTTATTTTCATTTTTTGTACCAACCACCTAAACAGTATAAAAGTAGTGTTATTTAGTTGATCGAGCGCTGATGACCTGGATGTTTTGCGCCTAGACATCAAAACAAACGAAACGAGACATG